TTAGCCAGAAATAGAAAAAAATAAAGGGGATGTGGGGCCTTTGGATTTATTTAAACCAGGATGAGTTGGGGCCATCTCTGTCACCAGCTGAGCTCAAGTGTTTTAACGTGTCGGCCTGCCTGCAGCATTCTTCTGGTGTTGCATGTTTCTTATAATTCTCCTGAGTCTTGCATTGGTGTTATTGAGTTCCTTGCCCAATTCAGCTGTATAACTCAAGAGCCTAGAACACACAAATACAGCCACATATCCTTGAGATGGTGCTGCTCTTAAACGTGCAGTTGCAGCCTTCCTCTTTGCTCGCTTGAGCCAACTGCCAAGGATCTAAGTCCTGAAATGCCACTTCACAAGCACAAGGTCCTACGGTCTCTGTCCCCCTCCCTGGGCAGCCACAAGGAGATGTTCTGGAAGAGTGTTCTTGTCCCACCTTGTTCTTCACTAGTGTCCTTACAAGCTACTCTACTAAATCCTTTTGTTTCCTTCTTCCCTCCCTGAGGGCAGCTGTTATCAGCCAGCATAAAAAGACTTAAAATAGCTTAAAAAGCACTGACTTTGTGTTGGTCTTCTGTCTCTCAGGTTGTCCCCCGGTGAGGGTTTCAGCTAGGGCTGCAGCTGCTGGGGGATGGCAATGAAAGTGCAAGAAGAGATCACACATACTTACTGCTGAAAATCCGCAGCGGTGACATAGCCCTGAGCTGGGCCCGAGGCCATGTTCTGAGCAGACAGGTACATCACCTGATGTTTTTCTTTCTTTGCCAGTAGCTCTGATATCTTTGCAGAGCTCTGTTCAACACAAGAAGGATTAAAACGAAATAGTGATCATAGGCAAAGCCAGCATGGTTCACCTGTAACACAGTCCCTTGTGGAAGGAAAAGAACTATGCAGCTTTGTTCTCTGTCTGAAAGTAGGTTTTCCTTCTGGCCCTTCCAAAAAGACAGGCTATAGGAATACACCTTTCTTTCTGGAGTGGAGAGAGAGGGCAAGTGTTGTGTGCAGTAGTGTTTACAGCGAGCCAAGGGGTTTTCCCCTCTCTTGCTGTACAAGTGACTGCTTAAAAAATGTTTTAGAAGTACTTGCACAGGCTTACCCCAGATAGGGAACTACCAAAGACTGTTGGAAACCCTTTTGTAAAGCAAAAGGAAGCTACAGTGACCTTTCTTCTTACTGTAGATGCAGCCTATGACCCAACCAGTTGATGTGAAACTTGTTTGTTTTCCGTACATCTGTTTCTGTTTAACATTTGGGCTAACACCCAGCTCACAACTTTATACCATTGCTAAGCCACACTGATCCCACCCTACGGCCAGCTCTGCAGTTGCAGTGTATGACCTTGCCTGAACAGGCTCCCATTTGAAGTGTTGCACATAATTAGGGATTTTTCTTTATTTATAGGTCTAGCTTTTACCATTCCTATGTTGTTGAAAATACCATCCTGTGGACAAATAGCTTTTGTAAGTAACAGCGGGGACAACTGTGACTCCTTTTGTATTATTTGACTTCTGAACCATAATGAGTTTCTAAGAAGACAGGAAAGAATAAAACCTACCTTTTTTTTCTTAGGAACATGCTTCTTTCTAGTGGCTGGTGATTTCTTGCTTGTCATTCACACAAATGAGAAGAGACAGAAGTGCTGTGAGAACAGGGCTGTGCTCAGTGCAGGGGGTAAGAGCCCATGCTGAGGTCCTACCTTTTCAACTTCTCGGCTGCTGGTTGTGTGTCTTCCTCAGGTTTCTTCAGCTTGAGCTTCATAAGGACATTATCACAACTCTGAACGTTGACGGGGAGAGTGAGGCATGTTAAATGGCTTGTGTTTAACCAGAGGCATTTTGCACAAGGACTTGTATGCCAGGAGCAAACCCTCAGCACACTGCCTTGGCAGTTAAACAGAAATCCCACCAGTTTATCACTTTCTTTGTTCCCTTAGCTCAGCTCAGAGAACTTACCCTGCTATAGCTCAAACTGGTCATGAAAGCTCTGAAGGTAATAGCCAACCAAACCCAGTAAGAGCTTCTGTTTTCAGGCATATTCAATTTAATCTTACTGTAGTCCTGGTAAGTAGGAGAATGAGCTTGGGTGGGAGAATTTGAACTGGGCTGTTGATGTTGTTGGGCTGAGGTCCTGATTTCAAGTTGCACTGAAAAGATTTGTTCCCATTTTGTACTTATTTCTGGCACACAAAAATGGTCTGAACTTTGTGGAGTTTTAAAGGTACATATTTCTACTTGTCTTGTCTTCCCATGCACAGAAGAGCCTTAGTTTCTCCATTTGGAAAAGCAATAGTAAGCTCTGAAGAACGTGATGGGACACATCACAAACCTGACTGGTCTTAAACATTGCTTTTAACAGGGTGAAGTAAAGGTAGGCTCCTTGCACCCTAACTCATACACTGCTCTTACCATTAGGAGCTGCTGGGGGTTTGATAGAAGGATGTCTCTGCATCTGTCAAATGTTTACTTAAAGTGAAAAATCAATATTTGAGTGTTCTTACATGGTTATGGCCCAGCTGTTTCAGGCTCTTTGCTAGTGATGTAGCTTAGAATTCCTCCTTCTGTCTGGAATTGAATGAGGTAGTTACACAACTGTTTACTTACGTGTCTAAAGAGGTCTCTGATCGGGAGTTTGCGACTGGGCATCACTTCATAGTCCGCTTTGACTTCCGAATAGGTGTCATTTATAATGGCCAAAAACATGTTCTGCACAGGAAGACTGCAGTTAGACATTTGTTTCTGGAAACTGCATTTGTATTATGCTGGGGCTGTTGTTTGGGGCTGCTCCATGCTAGGGCATGTAACTGATGAACTTGAAGAGCTTTTCCGGGTGCAGACGCACCCAGTGCAGATACATTATCTGGTAACATTAGGGTCTTATGAACATTTTGGGATACAAATTGTTTATTTCTCATCATACAACGTGCTCGTTTTGTGGTGCAAAACCCCCTTTTTTGTGGCTGTTTGGAGAGCTGGGAAATGTCAAGACCTGCTGTCTCTGCCCAGGTGTACTGAGGGGCAGCCAGGACGAGCCTGGTGTCATCTTGGGGTGAAAAACACTATCTCACAGTAGATACTACACTACTAACTACACGATACTAACTACACGATAGTTCTCTACTGCTTATGCAAAAGAATAAGCATTTTTAAGCTAATACTTACCAGCAGTACGAAGAACACAAAGAATACGAATGTGATGAAGTAAATGGGTCCAAGGATTCTGTTTGCTGCTTCTGTGTTTTCAAAATCAAAATCTCCCAGCACAATACGAAACTGTGTGAAGCTGGGAGTAAAAAGTACCAGAGTGAGGGTGAAGTATCGTAAGCATTACAAGCAAACAAACAAGCCCAAAACAATAGATACAACTGAGACTGATTAACCATTACCTTGGTCACTGAAATCAAAAGGTGAGCCAGAATAATACAGCAGTGATAAAGTGGGCATTTAGCATGTATTTGGGAATTTGAAAGTACAAAGGAATTTGTCCTTGTGTGAGAGAATTCCTTCATTTTGGATAAATCACGTGGCTTCTCTTAATTATTTCCCTTCTGTTCTAGCTTCATGATCTGTTATCTTCTCTTAGCACAGAAGGCATCGGTATAGGTCCCTATGTCCCCTATAGGGGATTTTATTCCTAGTGAAGACAAATACTTATTTCTCTGTGTTGCAGCATCTTAGAACCATCAGACACCCAGATGGATATAAAATGAGCTAATTTTCTGGTTTAGGAGTGCCTTAATTTTACATGAAAAGCTGCTTTCAAACAACCTGCTACACAAAAGATCTCTGAATTGTAAGAAACGTAGCCATGGGCTAAAACACAAGGCTTGCAGAGAGTGACAGGTTAGGGACCCTGCAAGGTGTGGGGACCATCAAAGCCTGCTCCATCTGGTACTTGGAATTGATCTGATGATGTTGCTACAGCAAGTAGCTGGAAAAAATATGGGGAAGAAGGGAGCAGAGCCAGCAGATGGGATTTGGGGGCTCTTAGTTATGCAGCTGGATGTTTTCTTACAGAGCAGTAATTCCTGCTTGCAGATATACTCAGCCTGTGCTCTGAGCATGTCTACTTGGTGGTTTTATGCCCTTCTGAAAGGGGTGAAAGAGGCAGCCTGCTGCCAGGCCTGCCCCATCGCCCAGGGGCTGGTTACATGTGGCAAAGCTGAGAGCTGTGGGACTAATGGCTCCATTGGGTTCCCTACTCCTGAGCTTCTCTTTCTGGGATTCCCCTGACCTGTTTAATGCACATGTGGCCTCTTCTGAACACAGAAGGTTTTGGGAACCAAAAAGGGTTTTACTCTATGATATAAGCTGAAGTGCTGGAGATCTGTACTCTTCAGTTCTGCTTAGCAGAAACAGGTTTGCACCTGCACCAACTGGGGGGTTTGTATCCAGAAGTTAACAAAGTACATACATGCACTTCTGGAAAGTGGAAAACTCCTCAACTTGTGACCCAAAGACCAGATAGCCAAACTGGGCATAGGCAAAGAAGACGATGAAGAACATGATGGCAAATCCAATGATGTCTTTGGCACAGCGAGATAAAGTGGAGGACAACTGCTCCATTGTTTTGTTAAATCTTACATATTTAAGCACCTGCAAGAGAACAGAACATATTGTTATTGGGGGATCAAAATGTGTTGTAATTTCTTAACAGGATTTCTGGAATGTTATCTGTGATCATCATTACGGGTTAAGTCATACCTGGGAATGGGATGTATCCAGAAACACACTAAGATTGGGTGTGTTTCTGGAGAAGATGACTATTCTGCAGGGCAAATATATGTTTCTACTAAAACTAATTGCATATAGACAGGTCTTTGCTGGGTACTGGTGTATGTGTGATCAGCTCTAGCAGATATGGACCCCAGGTCAAGGAGGCCACAAGCCATTGCACCCTCCTGTGTCTGCAGAGTTGGTAAACAGCTCTCTTGTACTTTGGGTCCGAAACAAGGCCTGAACAAGCCTTGTTCAATGACAGTCATGAATGATAAATGCAATTGTGCTACCAAATGAACAGTCTGAAGGGAGGGTGATGCACAGGGAACGTGGGGCTGGGGTACAGAAGGGATGTAGTGAGGAAGATGATTATGCACGGAACTGGTTAGGAACAAAAGTAGCTCCTAACCTTGGAGCAGTTTGCTTCTCTGGCCAGAGATCAGCGAATCTATTTGCAAGTAAGAATGAAATTAAAGGTGTCCTGGCACAAAGCCTCTTCTGAATCAAGTTCAGACACATTTTGCCTTCCTTTTGGCTACAAAAGCTATGAATAGCTTCACCTATTACAACCACGCCATCTGTATAGGTCAGGCTGTGACCTGGATCATATTGGGTCTAGGAAAATAGTGAGTTTGAGGAGGCTGTTTGGCCATGGTCATTTCCCAGCTGCTCCAATGGAGACAGCTGCCCATGTGCAAAATTCCTTTTTAGATGGGCTTGGAATCTGTGTGACCATGTTTATGAGAAGGAGGTAATTTTAAACTCTTCTGGAATCTCATAAACAAAATTCTCCTTTCAGCCCCACCTTTGCAATTCACCCATGGAAAGGTAGAAGCCAACACTTGTGCTTAGAAATGCTGATTCTCAAGTACAAAAAAAGGGTATAAGAATCAATACCTTTATCCAAGCAAACAAAATGTTGACAGCAATCATATTGTTGTAAAGGACTTGCCAGAATGTAAGGAAATAGAAGTCGGGATATACACTGGCATCAGACAGCAGCTCTTCCATTAACAGGGACACTTCTACAGTGCTGTAGATATTGAAGGTGATGGCAAGGATGGATACCTGAAGGAAAGCAGAAGCCAGTGAAACTCAAGCCCAGTTATCTGCCTTCTCCTTCAGACTGTCATTTCGCACAGGAAAGGCTGTTTGATTTCAACAGGCCCTTGGGTAGATTTGGAGAACCTGAGCTTTTTTGGTCGTAATCCGTATATACGAGACTTTGTTGGCCAAGCCATTTGTAATGGTACTGTGATAATTCTGTGCTTGTGGTATTTAACATGCTGCACACATTCTAATTTACTGTGTTAGCTCTGTTACATGCTATGCTCCCCTGCTCTGCGAAGATTAAAGCTAAACCAAACAAGGTGGATAACAAGTATAAAAGACGTGGAGCCGCAGCAAGCTGCCAGCAAAGCTAGAAGAGTTCAATGTGCCGAACCATAGTGGGCCATGTGGCCTCTTCACTGCAGAACGGTGGGTGACTGACTCAAACCCCACACAGATTTGGGCTGCTCAGCTTGTTGGCTGCCTATCCAGTGCAAGCCTACGCTGGCAAGCGCAGAGGTGAAAGTCAAGGGGTAGCTCACCATCAGCAGCATCAAATCCAGCCAAGTCCAACCACTTTTGAAATATTCCCTTTTCAGTTGCACTATTTTTATAGCTTCCTGGATTATGAACGTAATGATAAAGAGGCAAAAGATGATTTCACAAGAAGCCAGGAAGTAATCATATCGTGTGATATATCTGAGGAGCTTCACAGAGTAGATATGCATAGAGGGGAAAGCACCGCCCGTGGCAGGGAACTCTACCACCAACCTGAAAGAAATTGGGGACTGGTGTTAGTTACTATCCCTTTAAATCATCTCAGCCCTTCATTTTCTAATACTAATTATTACTACATTCATAATACCTTGCTGGAACTCCTACCTCTGTAAGGTCTTGTAAGGAACTGTGTCTCAGCAGAGCAAATGTTCACTGTATCCTGAGTCTTTTCCGTCCCCTACCTGACAACAGGACTAATAATCCAGTCTCTGACCTTGCAAAAGGCTATGAAATTCCTTCCAGCTGACAGCAACAACCAGCTGTACAGACCAGATATTCTCTACTACAAAAAACATGGGAAGGAAGGATCTGGGTCAGCTCCCTGCACTAAGTGAACTTCTGCATTCTTAATGGATTACTGTCTTGCCAGCTACTACCTGAGAGACGTGGCTGCATATGCCTGAGGTGACCAGCCTTCCTGTGGGTCCTTATGGAAGCACCATGCCTCAGTAAATTGGATTTCACATGTAATAAAGGTAAGAACTCACTTGACTATACAGAAGAGGTTTAGGTTAGCGTTGTATGTTGAGAAGTCAATAAATACAACTCTGGTTCCTCTAGTGAGCCAGTTGTTCTGCTTGAGAGATGCCAACTTCTCCATGCTCTCCTGCTTTGATTTAGGTAAGGTGAACAAATATCCTCCACTGCTGTACAAGCCCATAGTTCCCAAGTACCACGGGGATAACGAAGTGGCTGGGGTGTATTTCCATCTGTCAGAAATGGGAAAACAAAGCACTCAGCTTATGGAACCTGGACTGAAGTAAGCTTTACCTTTTGTTTTATACAATCCTTGTTAGTTCTTGTGTTCTTCTGCATCCATGACTGACCATTTAAGCCAGACCTTTAAATAACACTTTTCTTTACATAAAGAGTATGGCCTTAAGATACTCATGTCTTATTTAGCTGCTCGGTACATTAACAAAACAGCAATTGGTTATGAATCTGGATTTCACCCAATGTGGACCAGACAGTTTATTACCTTAAAACCTTTGTAGGCAAATGGAGTATCTCTGGTTTCCATAATTCATTGTTCCTGTGGCATGTTCACAGGTTCTTTCATTGTGCTAAATTCATGCTAAATGAAGTGTGTGAAGAAGGCCTTTTGGCTCTTGTTTCCAGAGCATTTTAGCATGATTCCAATTTATAAACATGGGATTTAAATTCAAGCCTTGTATAATTGAGCATTTCTCCAGAGATGATAGTGGAGACAGGCCCACTAACATGTGCTTCTGCTGACCCAGGCTTGCTGTTTCCAGTTTTTCCTGCCTCTCTGCTATAGATTTCCCATGCCAAATTCCCATCCATAATGTTGGCACAAAAGCAAATCCGTGGTTTATCACAATGTAAACAAGAGATAAAACTCAGCTAATTGCATGCACGGTTGTGACTAAGTGAACAATAGCTGGATTAAGGCTTTGGTTAGGTTTCCACAAGCATTTCTGTGCTGGAGTAGGATGACTTACTCGGATTCGTTCCTTAGAGCATCGTTAGACCTGTCTTCAGCTTGGTAACGGTACTCACTGTAACAGTCATCTAAAAAGCTATGGAAATACGGGTAGATGGAGCACGTGTTGTTGCGCACTTTCACCTGTCGAACCTGGGCTACTCCTAGCAGTAAATTCTCATAGTAAATATGGCTGTAGTTCTGCAAGGTTAACGTCCTGTTGTTGTACCATGTGTCCCAGTAGAGTCCATCCAACAGCGGTCCCTCTACAAACTGCACGTACAAGTGAGGTTAAAGTTTCAGAAGAAGATTTAAACACCACTGTTGCCCCTCTCTTTAGCATACAAATCTCTACAGGGTTCCCAGGTTGCTTATAGACACAGAGTCTAAGCTAGAATACAAACAGCTCCCACCAATGTACTGTCTTATACATATGGTATATTTACATCTTTTTGCTATCAATCAATTTGTTCCCTATGCAATTCTATCAATCAGAGATGTGTAATGGGATTATTCAGGGTAAGACTATAACATCTCTTTAGAATTCTCCTCAATTCTAAACAAATATGTTTAAACACAAACACTGTATGTTGTTCTAACAACATCTATTGGTTATCTTAATCTCTGACTGTCTGGTGTGGGATATGTTTCCGACTAGGGTTTTAGTCATCTGGATCTAAACAAAGTGTTTATTTTTGAAGGTAGGGAAAAAACAATCCCTCTTTTTCTGGGTGGTTCTTAGATGTAGATACATAGCATCAAATTTGGGGGGAGCATTATTCCGAGTGCACAACAACATGCCCCCATGGTTTGGGACCATCTGAGCATGCATTACAACCATTCCTAGTATATCAGCCTACACACTGCAATAGCAAGGGCTCGTTATTTGATGGACTGGCAATGGCAGACAGCATGATAAGGGAGAGTCCAAATCTTCCCGATGAATTGTTATAGTCAGGCATTCCACTTTTAAGGAAGAGCAGGATGAGAAACTGCCTCCTGCTGTGAGCTGGGCAATGCTGGTAATTTGGGAGGTCCTCTACCTAGTAGTGATAATTGCAACTGTCACTGAAATACAAGGTCATGTAACAGCAAACCAGGTGAACCAAGATAGTCTGTTTTCCAGTGGAAATCGTAAGTCTTGGATTGGTTTTGACACCTGAAAGTCGAAAGAGCTGTACACCCAAAATCTTCCTGGCTTTGTTGAAGCTCTTTTTAAGCTTCCTTGAGAATATGATGCAGCAATTAACTGGCCTGTTGTTTTCCTCGACTGATTATTCAGAAGTATCAGTATTTGTCTGTACCCAGAATTTCTCCAAATGCATTTTAATAAGTTGTTGCCTTTCTTCAGCTGAAAGCACAACCTCTAGCTGATGGTTTCTAGGAGAACCGTAGAATGGCTAGGGTTGGAAAGGACCTGAAGATCATCTAGTTCCATCAGACTGTATTGCTCCGAATTAACACTAGGAGGTTCTTTGCTTGTTTGTAAGGAAAGCCTTACCTTCCAGAAGTCAGCTTTGCTCCGAATGCTCCCAAAACCATCCTCGTCCCCAGCGGGCTCCAGGAAGAGGTGGGACATGACTGTGTTCAGGTGGTACATGTCTATGCTCACCATGCCAAACGCCACTGGAAAGAAGGGGCAAAGAGAGGATGCTCACAGGCTAAAATCAGAGCATGACAACAGCTTCTAACCTTGTTTTGCCTGTCCCTAGGACATCCTGCTAGAGGAAGGCAGTCGGAGCCATCTCGCTTGAAGTGATGCTTTGGGGCTGGATGACGGGAGGAGAAAGGGGTTAGGGGAAGCGGTGGAGCTCACATGTTGGATGCTTGGCAGCAGGGCTCCAGCCGTTTGATGACTTACATATACAGAGGTCTATCAGGAAGATGACATAGATGACCAGCTCCCGCAGCATGTCCTTCAGCTCCTGTTCGCTGGTGCTGGGCTCCCGGCGCTTCGGGGCACCTGCTCGGGGAAAGGGCGGCGGGGGCAGAGCCCGGTCAGTACCCGGAGCCCTCGGGCCCCGGCTTGGGCCGCACC